CTGCTGTGGGGCACGGAAAACGTTGTCGGCTAAAACTGGACAGGAAGGAATAAAAAGGGAAGAAAAGGGAAAAGAAAAAAAGGAAAAAAAAGAAGGGGTGGGGGAAGGGAGAAAAAACGGAAAAGGGAGGGGGGGTGGAAAAGGAGAGAAAAAAGAAGGAAAATAAAATAAAAAGGAAAGAGAGGAAAGCGAGTTCTAAGCGTCCTGCAAAGCTTTAACAAAAACCTGCTCTGCCCACAGGCGGCTCTCAGGCTCGAACTGCCAGGCAGCTGCTGCCGGCGTTGCTGCATCCCCCCCCGCACTGTTCATCACCCTTTTGCTAGCGACTATAAATAAGTCACTTCAGGTTTTGGCGGGGGTTTGCCAGCCATCAGAGTCCGCTGGCCTGTTAAAATGTTGGCGGGATGAAGCTCATAGTCTCAAACGATATCTCCAAATGTAGGGACGATGACCAATGGACATGCTTGAACCTCAATCAAAGCCTCAGCACAGTCGTGGAATATAAAAGGCCCTGTCTCTAAATACCTTTTGCATATTGAGTGAAATGTACGTTTCACCTTATATACACTATATATTTGAAAGTACGTAAGATAGAGTTCCTTGAAAAAAGTTAATAGGAGGAAGGTGATTCTTCTCCAAGATCCCTATTACTTTGCCACTTTTTCACACAAAGATCTCACTGCTAGCCAGTACCAGAAACACTTGTTCACGCAAAAACACTTCTCTGTGAACATGTCTCAATTTACACTGCCTTTATGAGGTGTAGTATTGTAACAGTAGTCTCATTCCTGGTTGTTTTTTTTTTTTCTTATAATTGCTTTGTCAACTTAATTTCAAGATAAAAGAGGGACTGAAAATGTATGCCTGAAAGACAGGCATCATTTAGAACTACAATGAGCTGTTAGGCTAGAAATGCTCAGTAGCCTCAGCTGATGAGGTGTCACTGCAATGCTGACAGCTTTGTAAAGACAGTAGTTTCTTCGACCCTTCGTCACAGAGACACAGTGTCACCGTCCAGCAAATTTTTGTTGTAGCCTGTGAATTTATGCCTGTGTCTGGTTATTTCCAAAGAGCTCATATGTTGAGAAAAGAAGGAACTGAGTCGAGCCTGCAGAACGGCTCATTCCCAGCAGGTCATGCAGTACCTGCTGACTTTCCCTTCTCCACATGGCATCAGGCCACAGAGACAAGACACCATTGCCACTGAAAGACAGTTCTGTCCTCGGCAGGGACTGCCCCTCCATCACACTGATTTCCTCATGTAGTGCCAGGTCAGGAAATTGATCTCCAGAACGAACCCAGGCACAAAGGGAACGTAGATCTGTGCTTTGACTGCTTATTTGTATAACCCAAATAGTTTGCTTGGGAGGGAAAGGATGGAGCAAAACAAGGCACAAGGGCAAGAGCACCATTCACCTGTTAGCCTGTGAAACTGCGGCCACAGGTTTAGATCCTCTTGCACACACTTGCCTGATTCTTTCCCAGATACAACTTTCTTACCAAATAATCACCACCACTTTATTTGCGCTTACTTTTATTCCCTTTGTTTCTATCACAGCAACTTAATCTTCCCCCTTCCACTCTTGCAGGAGGCTGTGTTTTAGGGGATGATGCAGCAACGCACGCAAGCTGTGAAGCTCTCTCACTTCATGAGCATCCTTGCAGCGTTACTGCCACACCACTACAGTATCCCTAACATCATGACAGCAAGCACAGCTTATTCTAGGTACCTTCTTTCACAAGTTTTAGATTTGAATTGACCATTAAATACAAAGTGAATTAGATTTATAGCTACACTACATGCACAGAGATGAAGGTCAAATCGAGTAGTTCCTCTTCAATTTTATAAATACATACAGAAGTTAGTCACTTAGCATAATACTTCTGATGTACTTTTGAATGTGTACTATTTTAAAACTGAGTTGACATTCCAAGAACCAGTGAAAGCTGAACTATCAAGAGAGGCATAAAGAACAGCAACTCTTGCTCAAAGAATGAGAACACGTCACCTTTGCAGAATCAGTCTTGCTTCAAAAAATATGCCATAAGCATTTAAAGACTTTTAGCTATTATGGGCTTTGGCAGGAGTAGAAAGTTCAAGAGCTTCTCTCCCAGAACCAGTCTCCACAGAAGCCAGCTACCCTAGCGCTGTTTTCAACAGAAATGGTTCCAAAGAACTTGCTTTTACAGATGCGATAACAGGAGCAGCCCCATCTGTCCACACTTCCCACCTACCTCTTCCCCAGTAAAATTCCTGTATAGAACCTTTTACCAGAAAATCATGGAAACTCTGACCTGGGCTGAGTTACAGAGGAAACCACAACATGCTGCTTTGCATTATTTATTGTAAGTAGTCTGAGGTCTGATCAGATGAGATAAACATAATGAATACTTTAGATTTAGAATTTAAAACAAATCCAGTGTGTATATTATATAAATTTTTATTTACATAAGGCATCAAAATTGCCCTTTTTAACAAAAGGGTCATTTTCCCTTTTACCAATACTTTGGTGAAAGAAATGTCACATTTAGTAGACTAATATTCACCGCTATACTTGTTCTGAACAAGCAGGTACAATCCAACGTACAAGATGAAAAACCAAACGCAAAAGATCTAAGCATACTATTTCATGAATCACTCTGTAGAACAAAGAATTAAGGCTTGTTTGCATCACGATGATGATCAGTCATGCATCATTTATTCCCACAAAAAAAAAAATAATTTGCAACTGGAGCAGGAATAGCAGAAGTCTGGTATAATCCCCATATTGTCTACATCAAAAAACAATTTGGCATCTTGGAAATTGGATTGAAAAGTCAGAGGAAGGAGAGAGGAAAACAGAAAATGGCCCTTGCCTCAGAATCCTTTATAAGCATTTCCAGTGTCCATTTGCAGGAACCTTTCATTTCAAAAAGGAAAAACAGGACTTTCAAGGACTGATCTAGAAAGACTAAAGTTATGGTTCCACTGATCATGAAATATTAAACATGTAGAGAAAATACATGGTTTGGAATAATGAATTCCACACTGAGATCCCCAAGTAAATGGCATATATATATTAAGCTGAGCCTGCTGAATAGGTCTGATTTATAAAAATGGTAAACCTGTATTATTTTTCAGCCTGATTTAATAATTCCTGAGGTTTAGATCACTGCTAACCCACAGCAGACAAAACTCCAAATGATGTAGTGAAAAGTTTTGCAAATCACTTTCAACATTAGCACACATTTTGTTCAGCAATTCTCAATCATCAATAAAAGTCAGTCTCCCCGGTCCTTCATTTTTCATCCACCGCCGGTATCTCTTCCATCGGGGATCCATGGCCATCTTCTTCTTTAACTCCTCCTCTTGTTCTCGTTTATAGACCTGATAGACAGACAAAAATTTTTCATAAGGCTGAAGAAACAGCTTAAGTGAACCCCAAAGGGGGCTGTAACTGTTCGTAGTTAACCATTCACCAGCTTATTGTCTTTACAGAAGACTGAATTTCAACATAGAAGCAGACCTTGACCAACATAAAGTGTACGAGAACCTCCACCCGAGGAGCCTACCAGCTATAGTTGAGATGCTTTGCATTTTTGCTGAGATCAGAACTGCCTCCTCATAAGATGGTGCTGCAAGCTCCTAAGCTTATTTGCTAAAGAACTAGATGCTTGTGCATTCAGCAAAATAAAATTTTGCAGTAAAGAACTGCTAATGGTCAGAAAGCTAAATTTTGAGTCCCTTCTCAGCACACATACTGTTCAATGCAGCTGTTCAGCTCCTCACTTTAGTTGTTTTCTCATTTCAAAGTCATTGTTGAGACAGAATACTGCTATGGATTTTTTTATTCCTAATGAAGTTTCTCAACTAAGTTCATATTGCTGCATTAACTATTGGCAGTATTAAACGGTAAGTAATTACATTCAGTCAAGAAATGGTGTCATTGTAATGAAATCTACAATTATCAGCAAAGTCGAGTATCTAAAAAAATGCATCTGTGTTTTTATTCTGGAAGGCTGTTTATGTAGATACAGGCAGTGTAAACCTCAACACCATGCAGATTTATGTCATCTCAGTGTCATCTGACTTCTTCCCAGAGGGAATTAAATTTAAGATTATGCTATGCGTGAACAAGATTTTAAAAATATTATAGATGGCTTTGTAAATATACCAGCTCAATTTTCAGTGATCATACATGTTTTAAGAATTATTAGGAAAGTAACAGAGGGGAAAAAAATATTGTGGAGCTCCATGATGTACCTGTGTATTGAATTCTTGGTCTTTCCCATCCTAAAAGCACACTGGAAAACTGAACAATATGCAGCCAGGCATCTCCAATGATCAAAGAACAGAGAAGCTTTTGGGGAGAAATACTTAAGCATATTTTTCAGCCTAGAAAAGACATGACTAAGTTTCAAGTAAGGATATGGCGGTGGTACACAGGAACACAGGTAGCAGGAGAAAAGAGAATAAAGCATGATTGTTCTCCATTTCCAATAATACAAGAACCAGCAGGTGTCCAGGTGGCTTTGAAAAAACCACCTACACATATTGCTGAACTCATGACCAGATGCACAGCAGACACTGAAAGTTTTAATGCATTCACAGAGTGACTAGGTAAGTTTAATAAAGAAAAACTCATTAAAGCAATTACCTACAAAGACACCATTTCCTTTTCAGGAAGTCCCCAAGCTGCAAGTTATACTGGATAAATATTGCTATATAGGTACAACTTTCACGTATTCTTACTAAAAATCAACTGCTGACCACCACAGGAGATGAGTTTGGGCTAAACAGACTTCACTTCTGGCAAATACAGCTCTTTTATATTCATCACCAAAACATCACTAGTTGGAAACAGCGTGGATCCCAAACCATTTCTTCTCTACAATAACAGGATATCCATCCTATCTTACTTTTTCCATGTAACATCTGCTTTGACTAGTAACATTACTCAATCTTTGGACTTGCAGTTTTCTAGGAAACCCATCACAATTCAACAAGTGTACGTGCCTGTCGGCTAATCCTTTCCTTACGTTAGCATCAATTCTACTATTTTTCTCTCCAAGTTTCTAGATTAATCCACCCCTGCCTACTTTTAAAGAATCGTTTTCTTGTCTTTGGTGCCCTGCCAGCAGCAAAGGCAGTTCTCCCACCATCCTATTTCTTTTCCCAGCATATGCAGAGCAGCAGCAACATCTCCTCTTCCTCTTAAGCAGGCCAAGTTAATTTTCTCTGTTTCTCTCTAGAAACCTCCCACCCAGATGGCCCACAGATGAGCCTGTGTGAAACAATAAAAGTGTTTTGCCAATCTGCCACCCCCCAGCATCCCAAGTAATTCTGGACTGCAAATTCCATTCTGTGGATAATGTTCTTTCACTGCTCTCACAGAAAGCTTAAAAAAAATTACATATTGACTATTTAGTAACTGGCTATCCAAGCAGTTGCGCCCAATGGTATTTCGTATACCATCTTTACTTGAATAGATATACAGCACAGCAAAAACAGTCCCTGACTCACTGAAGGCCAAAGAACTATCAAGGGACAGTTTAAAAAAAAAAAAAAACTAGTTAAGAATTAATGGATTAGAAGATTGATGAAATAGGAGTTTCAGATGATCCAGGTAATTATTACAAATTATTAGTGTTTGGAGAACAGTCTTCAACCTGCTACAATAACTTTGTCATACCACATTGTTATAAGAAAGCCTTTCAGCAGATTCAACTAAATCTTGCATGCAGAGATTCCCTAACAATCCCTGGTGGACATCCCCTGATCGAGAAAATCCCTTCCTGTATCTGTAGGCACAGTCAGGAGCTGTTGTCTACCAGTACGTGAGCTTAAGTCAAAGAAACCACACCATGTGGTTGTCTAACAGTTTTCAATTTAGAAAGCAATAGCTAAAATTGAAGCAATACTTCACAAAGCCCCGTCCCAATCACCTCCACAAAACAGCTGTTCTTACTCTGGGAGCACTGGACAACTAACATTAGCTTTTCCACCAGAGCTACCCACCTCATAGTTTTCTCGTATCCACAGTTGCCGTTCAAGAAAGGTCTCTTTTTGATGATCTTCTAGGCTGTCAAACTGAGACTGAGACATTTTCATGTACCTTCGTATGATATACAGCTTCTCTTCCACACCGTACTCTTGCCCTTTAATGGTGAAACAATAAATCCACCAACAGTACCAAACAATGTATTTGCACAAGTAAACAGGAGCAAGAAGGATCTGAAATAGAAGGATATCATATATCTTGGGCTTCTGATAACCGCCTTTTATATCTATTTTATTTTTAATAATGTCTTTGATAATTTCTTCCTCTTCTTCACGAATTTCTTCTTTAGACCGCCTGTTCTTGCCTTTTTCTTTAGTCTTGTTGAGTAAACCTTGTTGCCTGGCAATCTCAGTAGCTTGTATACGGTATTTTGGCACTGTAGCTAGATAGTTGATCGCTTCATTGTAACTACTCCACCAGCTGAAGAACTGTAATTGAAGAATAGTAGAAGTAAAAACCGTGTTTTTATACAGGCACATTCCTATTTGGAGGTTTGCCAGGAGAAAAAAATAATGCTATCAGACACCCTTAACCACAATTACATTAGAGCAAGGGTAAAAAAAAAAACTGAACAGTACTTCTTCTGCAGTATCACAGAAGCTATAATTATTCCTCCAAACTTAGTAAGGCACCTGGAAAATAGATGGATATCTCACAGCAATATACAGTGATGAGGAAGGATAAGCAGACACTGTTCACATTAGTTTTGTTCACAAGAAGATGGCAATCTCCTGAAGGTTAATGCTAGGCTGTGCCAGCTATTCTCAGAAGCCCCCTTGGATTTTATTTATAAAGTAGCTGGTATATGAACATTTCATTCTAAAACTGTTACCCATTAAAGACAGTTAATTAAACATGGATTAAGTACATGAAAATCTCATTAGTCTGACAGGATTGACTTTACAAGATTCAACATCCCCCTCAAATCTCCAGTTACCCTCTGAATATCAATGGGGAAAAAAACCCCTCCAACAAACCAGAAACATAGTGCCTGGGGCGAACATGTCTTATTGGGGCAACTTTAAAAAAAAAAGCGGCATTTCACAGCATTCACCAAGACAAAGGGCAGGCACATACACATTATACAACCCTAACAAAGGCCATGAAGCAGAAACAACAGAAAGCAAAAGACAGTCAAATCAGTTTACACTGAATTTGCAATCCTATGGCAGCTGGACTGCAGGAAAGTGAGCATCTCCACTTACAGCCAAAATAAGAAGTAAGAGGTGAAAAGAAACTGTGAATGGAAGTGAGTCTGAAGAAAAAATTAAGTATTTGGCTGCATATGCCATTGGAATTTATTATTCCAAGCTCTCAAACTCTGATTAATGTATTTTGCTCTTAATTTCCAATATCCCCCTAAAATGTGAGCTATCTGCACCACAGAATAAACTGTTATCTTCTCTTTAAACTTTTTGAGTATTTTTAATATTTTGAGCCAGTAATCTAATAGACACTAAAGAAAAGAAACCTTCTTCCACTTAAATATTTGTTAGCAATAGCACAAGTTTTCTCATCTAAAACACAGGCTGTTGTTTCCTTGACCTTGGAACTACCACCTTCAGAGCAAACTTCACTGAACCGAATTCACTTCTCTCCTGACTTCACTGTGGTGTTTAAAAACCACTGCCATGTAAGATTCGTGCAACAGCAAACTCACGATATTCAGTCCTATCATCTGAATTGAGTCTTGAATTTAGTTTGCAATTAGTTTGTTTTTTTAAAAAAAAAATTACTTACACAGCTTGACAAGCTGACAGACGCTTATTTGGACCACAAGTCCTGGCTGTGCTCAGGAACAGGCTATTCTCAGCCTGCCACGAAGAACTAAGTAACTTCTTTAGAAAAGCTGCACTTGTCTCTATGAAATACCCTACCATTAAAAGAAACTAAACTCTACCTTTGCCCAAGGTACCAAGGGCAGTCAAAAATCTGCTCAGTATCTCCTGACTTGAGATTTGTCATGGACACCACACAGAAGTTTACCACAACAGATAGAACGGGCCTCCTCACTGACACTGTTTAATACCTGGCACCTTATGAGAGCTGCAGATACTTCTCTTCTTGTTCAGAAACTCACTGAGTAGTGTCGCATAAATGTGAAATTTTACCTGAAACACGGATATGGCACACACTGTCACTAGAATAACTATTCTGACATCCACTTTGGGTGCCAATCTCCTGCTGTAGTAGTGATAATAATGCCTGTAATACTCTTCAGGATGATCCAACATGTAGTCATAATCTTTACGTGTTTCTTCATCCTGCAGGATAAGACAAAAAACATGCATAGGTTCAGATTCCTGTTTTCACTTACTGTTATAGCTGTGTTTAACATCTCATTAGTGACCATATTGCTATAGAATTTGCAATAGCCCAATCGAGTATGAAGCACAGCGGAAAATTTTCGGTCCTTTTCTCATATTCTCAATTAATTCGTTCTCATGCTCACCTGCCCACACGTATCTGACATACGTGGTCTTAAATGCATAAGCATGCACGGCATGAAGACATTTAATACTGAAATAAAGACGGGCAACTGAAAATCACATAATAAGTATTTTTAACGTCAGAATGGGAAATCCAGATGGACTAGAATTAATAAGTATTGCTCAGGAAAAGATTTTCAGATTAAGAACCTACTAATAGATTGTTTTACAAATCTTTTAGAATAAGCTTATGGGGCTGTGGAACCCTTCTAATGGAAAGGCGTCTCAAAACCTCGTTGTTCGCATTTTCTCAGAGTTCTTCTCATTTTCACCCATGTAATTAAGAGATGAGAAATTTGTCAGCCTCAGCTGCATTCCTATCCCCCAGAAAGTTCCCTTTTTTCTCCCTCGCAGCTTTAAAACACTTAAAGGTTTCATTTTTCCACCTTTGCCAAGCCACAAATACTTTGCCCCAATAAGCCTCCCTTATAGATCCCACACTCTACTCACGTCACTGTTACTTTTTTTGTTTAAAGGTATACCTCTATGATAAAGCCCAGTCGGTTCACTTTAAATACAAAGGGATTTTCAAGAGAACAAATTCTAAATACAAAGGGATCTTCAAGAGAACTGTATCCCCTCCCGGCGCTCTTGGGCTGGCTATTGAAGGTTTTTTGGGGTTTCTTCCCCCCCTCCCTGGCTGCTGGTAGCCAGCTAGCCAGCTGAGCCCACACAAAGGGACGCAGACCCGATGCTGCAGGGCCCGCCGCGATGCACACAAGTGTAAACCCGAGAGGCTCTGATCCCGCACCCCTACCCCGCACCCCGGGAAAAGACACCCGCGAAGTGTGCACGGCCAAGTCGGGCAGAATCCCCGTCTCTTCCCATGTACGTACGCTTCAGAGGCAGACGCAGCACACGGTGGGGACTATATACCTTTCAGCGTATTTTAAAGCCACGGTTTTTCTTCTCGGAACATGCGAATTGCTCAACGTTGCTGCCGGCGGCTAACGCGCGAGCTGCCCATATGCAGAGATGGGCGATTTCAGCACGGCAGGAGAGCAGCGTGCCCCG